TTTAATGGGGATTGCATTGAATCTATAGAATGCTTTGGGTAGTATGGACATTTTAATGATGTTAATTCATCCAATACATGAACAAGGTATGTGCTTCCACTTTTTTATATCTTCCTCTATTTCTTTTTCAATGTCCTGTAGTTTTCTGCAAATAGGTCCTTTACTTCTTTGGTTAAGTTTATTCCTAGGTATCTTAATTTTTTTGCCGCGATGGTAAATGGGATTGTTTTTTCAGTTTCTCTTTCTGTGAGTTCATCATTGGTGTATAAAAATGCCGTCGATTTCTTGACGTTAATTTTGTATCCTGCTACTTTTCCAAATTCATTTATTAAGTCTAGTAAATTTTTGATGGAGTCTTTAGGGTTTTCTATGTATAATATCATGTCATCTGCAAATAATGACAGTTTCACGTCCTCCTTTCCAATTTGGATCCCTTTTATTTTTTCCTCATGTCTGATTGCTGTGGCTAATACTTCCAGTACTATGTTAAATAAGAGTGGCGAAAGTGGACATCCCTGTCTTGTTCCTGTTCTTAATGGAAATGTTTTTAGTTTCTGCCCATTAAGTATGATGTTGGCTGTGGGTCTTTCATATATGGCCTTTATTATGTCGAGATATGATACCTCTATTCCCACATTGCTGAGTGTTTTTATCAGAAATGGATGCTGGATTTTGTCAAATGCTTTTTCAGCATCTATTGATATGATCATGTGGTTTTTATTTTTCATTTTGTTTATGTGGTGTATCACATTTATTGATTTGCGAATATTGTACCCGCCTTGCATCCCTGAGATGAATCCCACGTGGTCATGGTGAATAATTTTTTTGATGTATTGCTGGATCCGATTTGCTAGTATTTTGTTCAGGATTTTGGCGTCTATGTTCATCAGGGATATTGGCCTGTAGTTTTCTTTCTTTGTAGTGTCTTTTTCTGGTTTTGGAATTAGAATTATGCTGGCCTCACAGAACGTGTTTGGAAGTCTTCCTTCTTCTTGAATTTCTTGAAATAGTTTGTGGAGAATGGGTATAGTTCTTTTTTGAATGTTCGGTAAAACTCCCCCGTGAAGCCATCCGGGCCTGGGCTTTTGTTTGCTGGGAGAGTCTTTTTTTTTTTTAAATGTTTATTTATTTATTTTTATTTTTATTTTATTTTTATCCTCACCCGAGGACATTTTTCCATTTTCTACTCAGAGCGGGAAAGAGAGAGAGGAAGAGAGAGAAACATCGATGTGAAAGGGACATATCGAGCGGCTGCCACCCACACAACCCAACCAGGGCTGGGGACAAACTGCAGCCAAGGCACATGCCCTTAGCGGGAACCGAACCCGGGTCTCTGTGGACCGCAGGCTGACGCTCTAACCGCTGAGCCAAACCGGCCAGGGCTTGCTGGGAGAGTCTTGATTACCTCTTCAATTTCCTTAGTTGTTATTGGTCTGTTCAAGTTTTCTATCTGTTCCTGGTCTTGTTTTGAGAGACTGTGTGTTTCTAGAAATATGTCCATTTCGCTTAGATTGTCAAATTTGTTGCCATATAATTGTTTATAGTAGCTGTTAACGATCTTTTGTATTTCTGTGGTGTCGGTTGTTACTTTTCCTCTTTCATTTCTGATTTTGTGTATTTGGGTTCTCTCTCTTTGTTTCTTGGTGAGTCTAGCTAAGGGTCCATCAACCTTGTTTATCTTTTCGAAAAAAACCAGCTCTTTGTTTCATTAATCCTTTGAATAGCTTTTTTTTTTTTTTTTTTTTTTTGGTCTCTATGTCATTTATTTCTGCTCTGATCTTTACTATTTCCTTCCTTCTACTTGCTCTGGGTTTTTTTTGTTTTGTTTTGTTTTGTTTTTATTGCTTTCTAATTCTTTAAGTTGTGAGGTTAGACAGTCAATTATACATTTTTCTTGTTTCTTGAGGTAGGCCTGTAGTGCTATGAACTTCCTTCTCAGAACTGCTTTTGCTGAATCCCATAGATTTTGTGTTGTTGTGTGTTCATTTTCATTGGTTTCCAGGAAGTTTTTAATTTCTTCCTTGATCTCCTCGGTAACCCATTCATTGTTTAATAACATGCTATTTAGCCTCCATGTGTTCAAATGTCTTTGCATATTTTTGTTGCAATTGATTTCTAGTTTCATGCCATTGTGATCTGAGAAGATGCTTGATATGATTTCAATCTTCTTGAACTTGTAGAGATTTAGTTTGTGTCCTATCATGTCACATTCTTCTCAAGTGCACATGGGACATTCTCAAAGATAGACCACATGATAGGACACAAAGTCTATCTTTGAGAATGTCCCATGTGTACTTGAGACGAATGTGAATTCTGTAGTTTTGGGGTGTAATTCTCTGTAGATATCTATTAAATCCATTTGGTCTAGTGCTTCATTTAGAGTCTCTGTTTCCTTGCTAATTTTCTGTCTAGAGGATCTATCCAGTGGTGTCAACGGGGTGTTGAAGTCCCCTGCTATGATTGTATTGCTGTCGATTTCTCCTTGGAAGTCCTCCAAAAGATTTTTAATATATTTTGGTGCTCCTATATTGGGTGCATATATGTTTATCAAAGTTATATCTTCCTGTTGGACAGATCCATTCAATATTATGTAGTGGCCTTCTTTGTCTCTAGTTATGGTCTTCATTTGGAAATCTATTTTATCAGATATGAGTATTGCTACCCCAGCTTATTTTTGCTTTTTGTTTGCTTGGAAAATTTTTTTCCATCCCTTCAATTTCAACCTACGTGAGTCTTTTGTTGTGAGGTGGGTCCCTTGTAAACAACATATAGATGAGTCATGCTTTCTTATGCAACCAGCTACTCTGTGTCTTTTTATGGGAGCATTCAATCCATTTACATTTAAGGGGATTATTGATATGTATTTATTTATTGCCATTTTTGTTTAGTGGGGGTCTATTTTTCTTCCCAATTCTCCTGCTAATTACAGCAGTCCTTTTAACATTTCTTGCAGTGCTGGTTTGGTGCTAATATATTCCCTTAACCTTTTTTTTTTGTCTGGGAAGCTCTTTATTTGACCTTCTATTTTGAATCATAGCCTTGTTGGGTAGAGTAGTCTTGGATTCAGATCCTTGTTTTTCATGACCTTGATTAGTTCATGCCATTTTCTTCTGGCCTGTAGTGTTTCTTGTGAGAAGTTAGTTGAGAGCCTTATATGGTTTCCTTTGTAGGTAACCTGTTGCTTATCTCTTGCTGCTTTTAAGATTCTTTGTCTTTAATTTGTGGCATTTTAATTACTATGTGTCTTGGTGTGGGCCTGTTTGGGTTCTTCTTATTTGGGACTCTCTATGCTTCTTGAACTTGAATTCCTTCTTCCTTCACCAAATTAGGGAAGTTTTCTGTCACTATTTTTTAAAAAATATATTCTCTATCTCTTGCTCATTTTCTTCTTCGGGGACTCCTATGATGCGAATATTATTACGTTTCCAGTTGTCCCACAGTTCTCTTAAGCTGTCTTCCTGTTTTTTAATTGTTTTTTCCTTTTGGTTTTCTGATTGGTTGATTTTTTCTACCCTGTCTTCTAATTTACTGATCCGGTCCTCAGCTTCCTCTACTCTGCTTTTTAAACCTTCCAATGTGTTTTTCACTTCTGATGTCATTTTTTCTCTCTTCTTCATGTTTTTTAATTTCCAATTGGCTTATTTTCAGTGTCTCTATGTCCTATGCTGTTGAGCTTCCTCAACATCATGGCTCTGAATTCTAGCTCTGTTAACATACCTAACTGCTCCACATTGATCTCATCTTCGGTGGAGGTCTCTTGCTCTTTCATTTGGCTTCTGTTTCTGTGTTTCACCATTTTGGCTATCACTGTGGGCTTTGGAGCCTGTCATGTTTTCCCTGTGGGTGTTGGTGTCCTGCTGTTTGTGGCTCCCTCTCCTTGGTTTAAATGAGCGAAGGAGGACCCACGTTAAACACCACTGTCAAGTCTTACTTTCCTGATTAAAGTTGCTAGCCCAGGAAAGGTACTGTTATCCTTTAGCTTTTTGCCTGGAGGCTAGCAGTCGAGGTTCCTTGATGAGTTTTGGATTGTCAGTTGATTGAAAAACTCCCTCAGGTGCTCAGCATAAAGGGATTTCACGAGGGTGGGGCAGACGTTGGTTGTTAATGAGCTCCAATTAGCACTTCAATGGCCCACAGGGTGGGGTTGGATCTCCGAGGGAGGGGCTGCTGCCTCTCCCCTGAGCCTTGGGAAGGAGCAAGATGGCCATCGTCCTGCGCGGCAGCAACTCAGCAAAAGCTCTGAGTGCCCTCCAAATCCCGAGTGTCCCCACACAGTTCCAGTCCAGTCTGTCCTCCCTCTGCCGGAGCCCAAGGTGAGTGGCTGTGGCTTTTTTAGCCTCTGTCTCAGCTCTGCGCTGTGGAGCCCCCTGGGACTTTAACCCGAGGGCACCGCTCCCAGCTAAGGCCGCTGCCGAGCTGCTTACCATAGGCTCTCAGACCCCGTTTCGCGCCTTTGCAAGCCTACCAGGATCGAGTCCCTGTCCCTAGTTAGATGGTCCTCGCAAGCTGCTTTTCTGTTACTTTTTCCAGTCGCTTTGTCTGTGTTATAGTTGTAATTCCAGTTTGGTTCTGGGAGACGGTCTGTGTAGCTTCCGTTCACTCCGCCGCCATTTTGGAGTCTTATAACCTGATTTCTTATCATAAAGTTTTCTGTCCACTTCCACTTAATTGTTTTAGCATCCACTGATGATTGTGGCCAATAATCATCAATCCATTAATTATTATAAAATGGTGATTTTCTAATTTAGAATTCCTTTTACTTTATATATAAGTATATAAGGGAAAACTTTCCCTTATGAATTATTTGGGTACTCTGAAATACAGTTCATATAGGAATCGCAAGATGAAATGATTCTTTCCCATTATCAATGTTCAGGATAATGAGTTGGTATCCTAGCAAGTTTCAAAGTAATCAATGAGGATTAAAAAAATATATTATAAATCCTAGATTAAAAGAGAACTTATCTTTCAACTTAGAAAGATGTAAAATACATTCATACCGCTTCTCTTTTAAGATTCATATTCATTTCTTCCATATTAGTATCTGCATGTCCGTGTACTGATCTACCATGAATGTAATATCCAAAACATTTGTGGGATAACAGAAACACTGATATCTATAAAAAGAAAAGAATAAGAAGCAATTAGCAACTCATCTGCAAAACAATAAAATTTACTTTTTCTTAAAATTGCTTCCTTTCAATGAGTGTTGAATTCTTGGAAAATATATAAAGAGGATAATAAGGTAATAAAGGACAGTGAGATTATTTTAAAAAGTAGAAGGAAAAGAGATTGAAAATATTTTCCAAGAAAAGAGGAAATAATAGGGTTGATATATGAAAACTTTTCTCAGCTGGGTGAACTATTTGGTGGTATAGGAAATTTATAATTAAGAAACTGAAAATAAAAATGAAAAAAAAAACAAGAAAATAAATATTAACTTGTAGTTCACTTTAACTATCTCTGAAATTAACAATCAGTGAAAATCAGGCTAAATCCAATTATACCAAATCACTTTCAAAGCCTCTCTTAATGTACTCATGACATTTAAAAAGGGAAAAATAACAGCTGCAAGAAAAAGTCAGAAAGTACTTACATTGCTCATACAGCATAAATCAACAAACTGTCGAATTTTGTCTTCTATAAATCTCTCATAAAAGACAGCAAAGAACATGATCTGAAACATTAAGCCAAGTTCATGCTTATTAGGTTTTAGGATTTAATTTTCTTTTATAGCCACAGTGTAGTATCTTAAGACAAGAGAAGTTCTAACCAAGAACACAGTGGCCTCTAATGGTTCCTATGGGATAAAATCCTCATCATTTCTGATTCTTCTGTCAAAGAAAGAAGGTTTTGGAACTGTGTTAAGATTCATTGATGGAACATATTTTGAATTTTAAAAACTTTTTCTGTGTCATTAAAAAAAACAAGATAGGACAAACATGTGGGAAGGGTTTTTCACATTTAGTATAAACCATTGTATTAATGGCCAGATTTATGTGTTCTGTAATTCTGCCTATCTCCTAAATTCCAAAAGCCATAGAAAAGTTGCTGTTTTGAAATAAACCTTCTCTGATAGAGTAGCACATAAAAAGCATATATCAAATATTCTATTTCAACTACAGATAATATGTTAAATACTCAAATGGAATGCTTTCAAGTGTTTTCTAGATTTAATAACAATATAAAAGGGAAGCTTTATAAATCAGAAATGTTTACATTGTAGTCCTTCTTCGATGTGCTTCAGAGAAAGATAACATTACCTAACCACCCAATTTAAAGCTGTCCCGGTTGTCTCTGCCATGCTCCATTCCTAACTTCCACTCCCCTCACCTTCATTAACCTGCTATCTCATCTCCCTGCTGATGTTTCATTGCACTTGTCACAATTTGTAACTTGTTCATGTTATAGCATATCCTTGAGCTCAGCACAGTGACTAATACATAAAATGTACCCAGATATGTGAAGAAATAAAATGAAATAGCAGCTGATTATTTTTCTAAATATTCTATATGTGTGTGTATATATACATATATATATATATTTATCCTCACCTGAGGACACTTTTGCATTTATCTTCAGATAGAGCAGAAGAGAGAGAAACATCGATGTGAGAAACACACATCAAGTGGTTGCCACCCACATGACCCCAACTGGAGCCGGGGACAAACTGCAACTGAGGTACATGCCCTTGGTGGGAACCAAACCCAGGAATCTCTGGTCCATGGGCTTAGGCTCTAACCACTGAGCAAAACCGGCCAAGACTCTATGTACACTATTTTTAAACTTCTTTTTTATCCTCACCCGAAGACATTTTTTTTTTTTATCCTCACTGGAGGACATTTTTCCTTTTTTTTTTTTTTTTTGTTCAGATAGAGTGGGAGGGGGAAAGAAAAGAGAAAGAGAGAGAAACATTCACATAAAAGGGACACATCGAGTGGTCACCACCTGCATGACCCAACCAGGGCCGGGGACAAACTGCAACCGAGGTACATGCCCTTAGCGGGAACCGAACCCGAGTCTCTCCAGACCGCAGGCAGATGGTCTAACCGCTGAGCCAAACAAGCCAGGGCACCCAAAGACATTTTTTGCATTTATCTTCAGACAGAGCAGGAGGGAGAGAGGGGGAAAGAGAGAGAGAAACATTGATGTGAGCGAGACACATCAACTGGTTGCCACCCACACAACCCCAACTGGGTCAGGGACAAATTGCAACCAAGGTACATGCCCTTAGTGGGAACTGAACCTGGGACTCTCTGGTCAGCAGGCTGATACTCTTAACCACTGAGCAAAACCGGCCAGGGCTATGTACACTATTTTTAAACTCCTTTAAAGATTATGAAAAACAGCAACATTAAAATTTTTTAAATAAAAGGATATCACTTAAAAGTTGAAAAAGCTGAGTTTAGGGAAATAAAAGAAATGAACAGTGAAGCCTAACATGAAGAGAATCAAGAAAAGTTTGTACAGACAATTTTATGGAACTGTGACTGGCTATTAAGGAAACTCTTTAGGGTCCTTGAGGAATAAACACTGATAACCTTAGAAAGTTACGATGGGGAGAAATACCTTCCTATCAGAATGACAGCAGAGAGAAACAAAGGAGGTTAGATGGTGGTACCCGAGATGGCTAGTTGCTGCCCCAACAATCCTTTCCATTTCTCCTTAGTGACAGACCTCTTCTTTGAGTGGGCACACTGCTGCCCAGCTGAAAAATGACAATGCACTGAGGTGTGACTAAGTTCCAGCCAAGGTGGTGCTGAAGAGCACTTCTGAAAAGGCTCTTAGAGAGGAGAGGGTAACCTCTTCTCCCCTGGCCACCCCCATACTCCCAGCCCCCAATTCCATCAGCTGTTACGGACCATGAGGGAACCTGAGAGATGGAAGTCCTGAGAGGAGAGGACAACAGGCTTCTGGGTCTGAGAGCAGCCACCATGCTGGCCCTGACTGCCCACCTCTGCTCTTTTTCTCAGGAGAGAGTTGAAGTTTTGTTTCAACTTTTGTTTCAACCACTATTATTATTATTATTATTTTTATTATACTCAACCAAATATGAAAAGTTTCAGATGGCATTCTCTTAAATTATCTACATCCAAATTAATCTGATTTCACAAAAACTTGTATTGGTAAACGTAAAAAATAAAATATTTTCCATTATACTGATAATAAACATCAAGCCCCATACTCTTGATCCTATCTTAAATCAAATACCAATTTCTGTTTCTATTTCTTTCCTGATTGTCAAAACTATCCTTCACTAGCTCTAGCCCAGTTTAAAATAAATACAAGCCCTGGCCGGTTTGGTTCAGCGGTTAGAGCGTCGGCCTGCGGTCCTGAGAGACCCGGGTTCGATTCCCGCTAAGGGCGCGTACCTCGGTTGCAGTTTGTCCCCGACCCTGGTCGGTTGTGCGGGTGGCAGCCACTCGATGTGTCCCTTTCACATCGATGTTTCTCTCTCTCTCTCTGTTCCTCTCTCTCCCTCCCACTCTACCTGAACAAAAAATGGAAAAATGTCCTCGGGTGAGGATAAAAAAATAATAATAATAAATAAAATACAATAAAAAAAATAAATACAAATAAATACAAATTTAATGACTCTATTCTCAGTGCCACCTGGATCCAATTCTATAGGAATTTTGGAATTTCAATATCAAAAGATCTTTAAAAAGAGGCTTTTTAAGGCAGATATGTGTTCCCCAGGTTATAGAAAGTTTAGCCTGGTCTTTCTAGAGGTCTCATCTTCATTTGCTTATTTAAAAGTTAAAGAAAATTTTAATCAAACAAAATGGCTCTTTCTATTCATGAGAGTGTCTAGAAGCAAGAGAAAGACATGCAGAAATTAGTTAAGTGTTTTAGCTACTGCTTCTTTATTTTCTTCCTTTCATACTTACTTTTTTTAAGCTTTAAAAAGATAAGGGAAGTAAGCATAGAAAAAGTCCTAGAACCATGGGTCCTGAAGCTGAGATTTATTTTTAGTTTCAGGTATTTCAATAAATATTTCAAAGAAAATTTCACAAGAAGCATTGGCAATTTGAATGAGATTTAATGATATTTAAATAAGTGTTAATAATAAATTATATTTCAAAGGAAAAGAGAACATTAAAAGTAAATTAGCCATCCTGTAGTTATAGATAAACTAAACAAGGAATCCATCGTATGACTAGAAAACTGCAGACTTCGAATGACTTCGGAGCCCCACTATTGATAATGTGATCTCTGAACTCAGACTGCCTGGGTTCCAACTGCAGTTCTGCCTATCTCTAAATTGTATCACTTTAGGGAACTATTTAACTTTTCTGTGCCTCATGGTCCTCAGTTGTAAAATGAGGTTACTAACAGAACCTATCTCTGAGGGCTAGTATGAAGATTTAAAAAGTTTATATGGCCTGGCCAGTGTGGCTCAGTGGATTGAGTGTCATCCCATGCACAAAGAAGTCACTGGTTCGATTCCCAGTCAGGGCACATGCCCAAGTTGCAGGCCTGATCCCCAGTATGGGGCATGCAGGAGGCAGCCAATTGATGTTTCTCTCTCATCGATGTTTCTGTCTCTTTCCCCACTCCCTTCCTCTCTATCTAAAAAAGTCAATTAAAAAAAATTTTAAAAATGAAAATAAAAAGTTAATATGTAAATGCAATTAATTAACACAGTGCCTGGATTATAACATTATGTAAGAATAATCTATTGTCTAGTATTGTTGTTGTTCTTGTCAGAAATCAGAATGTGGTCAATGTTTGAGGATAATTAGTATGTAAACAGTTATAAATATAGAGAAGCAATGTGCTTGAAAGTATAATCTCTTGTTACCTGTATAATTCCAATCACTAGCCAAAGAGCCGCAGACACTGCATATCTCAAAATGAGACTATAAGGAGCTATGTAGCTAGATGGGTTTCTGGAAAGACTAGAGGATGAATCCATTAATGCTAAATTCTTAAATCCCACCACCTGTAGTTACAAGAAAAAAAAATGACTTAGACAAGAATGAAGAAAACGTTTCTAGTTTAAAAATGAGATATTCCTCCCTACTCCTTACCTTAAAAAATAAAAATATTCAAGTTCATACAAACAGTAGAAAATCAAGATAAAGACAATTATCCAGTATTTTTTTTTACAAAGCATTTAACACAAAATATTTAGTTAGTTCATTTGGTATTTTCTTCAATATGAATAAAGACCAACTATAACCTTGTCATATACACTAACAAAGCTCAAAAATTTCTGTCAGAAGAATAAATCTTTCTTCAGCAAACTACTAATGAAAAACCAACATTTCATGAGATTTTAACATTTACCAGATACTATGCAAAATACTTTTTATGGTAAAGAAATCTATATGACTTTACTGAATCCAGCGTTTTCTAAACTTACTTGACTATAAACTCCCTTCTCATGTAATGCCTTTTAAAGCTTAAAAAAAAAAACCACTACTACAAATAAAATTTTGAGATAGTGTTCATATGTCCTAGGGACACACATATTCTCCTAGCTTTCAAAACGGAAAGAAAGAAGGAGGGAAAGAAGGCAAAAGGAAGGAAGGCAGATAGACGTAAGAGTTAATCATTCCTGAGAAAACCTGTTGCCCATATGAAGGGTTTCCATACTTCAGTCCCATTTTCAGTATTAAATACTTCCTTTAATAATTCCAACCAGATCCGTGAAATAACTATACAGGGCATTTACCCCTTCATTGTGCCTTGTTCAGCTCTTAACACAGAACACAGTTCATAGTAGGTATTCAATAATTAACTTGGAAATTTTCAACTTTACAGTAGTGGTTCTAATACAAGAGTGAGAATATGAATCAAGGAGCAAAAGGGCTTTTTCAAAATACAGATACCTGGGCACACCTCAGAGCTACTGAATCAAACATAATCTCTAGTGGAAGGAGGCGAAGCATATGTATTTTGCAAAAGCTTTCCCAGGTGATTCTGCTACAAGCCAATGGTTTAAAAGCCACTTTTTACCTAGAGTAATCAAATTCAAAGAGACAGAAAATAGAGTGGTGGTTTTCAGGGGCTGGGGAGAGGGGAGAATGGGGAATTGTTTAAATGGGTACAAAGTTTCAGTTTTGCAAGATGAGGAGTCCTAGAAATTGTTTGTACAATAATGAGAATGTACTTAACATTATTGAACTGTATACTTGAAAATGATTAAGATGATAAATTTCATGCTATGTGTATTTTACCATGATTTTTAAAAAGCCACTCCTTTTTTAAATGGCTTGAACAATAATATTTCAACCTTCAGAAAACTCTTCTGCACATGAAAACTTGGCTGAAATTAAATTACATTAACATTTATGTGGTACCCATAAGTTGCATACAATTACATCAAAAAGTTTATACCTCCAAAAGGAAGAGGACAGTAAGTACTTGAAAGAGTGGGTTAATTTTTCTCACAGTCTGAATTTCATTCCATTCATTTGCTACAAAATATGTCCTCCATATGCTTACAGGAACTGTAGCACTCCGTACACCACCCTCACCTGGTCAGGGAGATAAAATGAGTAAAAGGGTTTCTTATCTTTGCTCTGCAAGGGTAGCAAAATAATTTTGGTACAAATAGTTATTTCAGTTACCTTCAACAGCTTTAAGAACCTTTCCTTTAGGTCGCTCCCAATCGATAAAGAATATATCAATGGTAATCTGGGATATGAGCTTATGCAAAAATTGCAGAGCCTGAGAAAAACAAAACACCATAAAAGCATCCACATTAAGCCTACCTATAAAAGCAATACTAATTATTTTAAAAACAAATATACTGTAATCATAAGAATATATAATTTTCACAAGTGACAAAGTTATAACACCATTAGAAATCACTAGAAGCTCATTAAATAATATGGAACCACCTAAGTCACAGAAATTTCATACATGTATTGTTTCACCTTCCCTCCTTCCCCCTTTCTTTGCAGTAAGAATATGAAAAAAGGAGATGTAATGCCTCTCCTCATACAGGGGTCTTGCATAATTGAATCTTTCCCAAAGTTTCTAGAAAAACACTTTGTTATCTGGATAATCTGTCTTCTTTATAAGATATTATTTTCCACTGCAATTTGCTTGTTCTAATTAAAGTTTTGAGATGCTTTCACAGTCTTTTTTCCTATTTCTGCTATTGATTTAAAAAGTATGTTGTTGAAAGACATATTTTTCACTTACAGAAATAATATCTTTAAACTGAGGCATTCTTCCTAGTAGGTGTACTACTAATTAAACAAAAGATAAAAATATAAGTATGGGATGATTCCTTTCTTCTAGGAGCTCACAGGTAAGTGGGAAAAACAGTTAATTACAATACAATGGGATGTGATCTACCAGAGGCATGTAAAAAGCTTCACATACACTGACAAACAATGAAATAAGGAGAAGGGCAACTATGGGAAGAGGAAGAAAGCATATGGAGACAGAGAAAACAAATTCGAAGATTTCAGCACCTTTCACTCTCAATAAACAGAGACAAAATTCATGCCTGATGGCATTTTGTCCCTGTTGCAAATGCATCATCAGACTTCAAAGTACAGTCATAAAATGAAATACTATTTTATCAAATTAGCTAATGTTAATTCAAACATATTTATGCCTTCTTGGAAAAAATTATTTAAGGCAGATTTTCAGAATGAGCTATTATACATAAAAGCAGACTTACTATGTAAAACAGAGTAATTCATGCTTTCTTTCAAAATCAAACTAAGTTCTACACCAAAGATTTTGAAAGTACAGTCAAACCTCAGTTCTCAACCAAGTTGTTCACACACAATAAAAGTCTCATTTGTTGAATAAAACTTCAATTCTCGACCCCACAACCCTTTCTTGTTGATACCTGTATGATCAGTCACGCATCTCTCAGGTGACAAACAAAGGAGAGAATGCCTGAGTATGAGTCAGTTTACCACTAAACCTCATGTTGTTAACATCTCAGGAAATTGTGCTGTGAATATTTTTTGTGTGTTTTTTTGCTTTTGATGCTGCTTTTTACAATTAAATACATACAGTAAGTCACCATGGGTCCTAAGAAGGTCAGCAAAGTGAAAAGGAAAGTTGTGAAAACAATGATACACCTCAAAACAGAGAAAATTGCAAAGTATGATAGAGATGTTTGTGTGTCTGATGTGGCTATGAAGTATGTCATGGCGAAACTGATGATTAGCACAATTTTTAAACAGAGGCCATCAAGAGTGCTGATGTTACTAAGGGTATGAAAGTGCTCACAAAACAATGATCACAAGCAATTAAGAAAGGTTAAAACAGGGAATCATTTGGGGGTCAGGAAGAGATTAATTCAATTGACATGATTTTTAATGGCAAACGATTCAATTTTGAAACAAATTGCTTCTCAAAGGGCCTGCCAGAATGAATTAAGTTTGAGAACCAAGGTTCCACTGTACTTTAATTTTAAAGACTTACAAATTTGTTAATAGGACTTTTAAATTTTTTAACCTGTCCTTTGAAACTTACCTTCAGAGCAAAAGCACATCCAACATAAGTAACAAAACGTTCTTCCTGAGCCGGCATCGGTAGCAAAACAGAGACAGACTTCTGTGCCTATGACGAAAATTATACCATTAAATATAACCACATAAGGTTTTCACTAAGCATAATTTATAACCAAAAGAAAGAGCATAAAGAGGAAGCCGATAATGCTCTCAATAAACAGCATACTCATGGACTGGTGAGTTTAGCACTTGCCCACTATTCTTGATGTAAAATACCCGCAAATAAAAATAGCTCTTTTATAAAGAGCACTTACCAGTTATTCATGTATTGACATTCAGGTTAAATTCAGAAACTCACTTACTTTGAAGAAAATAAGCCAATAAAGACCTGTTCCCACAGTGATGATAACAAATACATTGGCCAGATCGCCAGCATAGTATACCAAGAATTTCATAACTGTCTGCAATTTAAAAAGAAGTATAGCTGTTATAGACTCAATGCACTCATACTATCACTTTTAATAAACTATTATCTCTAGCTTGCAGCCTTGTTTCATGTATGCATGGATCAGTTAGAAAAACCCACTGTGGCCATTCCTAGATACCTTTTGGGTCCTTACCTTTTGGTCCATTCCCAACAGCCTGTCTCATTCAACCCTTTTCATCTTCCACTATCTAAGAGAGTTAGAATCACTTGCTAATTTTCTCCCAGTTTGGAACCCTTCTCCTCAGTCTATCCTCCATACTACTATCAGAGTTAGCTTTCTAAAATGTAAACTGGATTGACTGTTACTCTTCCTCAGTGACTCTTCACTAAAATAAAATATAAATTCCTGACCTATAAGGTCCTTCACAACCTAGACCAAAAGTAACTTTTTTAGCATCATCTGCCAATTCCAACCATTTAATGACTTACCACTCCACACTTTCATATCAAATATTTTGTGGAATGGGTATTGTTTCATCAAATATTCTTCCCTTTTTCTTTCTGGCAGACTCTTGTGAGCACTGAGGGCAGAGGCCATGTCTTTCTTTGATCACTATCACATGCTCTCACACCTGGCAGAGTGCCAGGCACTCATACAATGGGCTCTCGGTGACTATTTGTGGAATGCGCATATAAAAATAAACCAGCTTACAGTCCAATTCTCTGGGAAGTCTTTCTTGACTATCTCAAATAGTAAATCAAAGCCCACTGGTCAGATTCCTTGGCATATTGGCTTTGGAGTCATGAAGATATCCCAGCACAAATAAGTTACAATGTTGCTTTTCTCATGTTTTTAATCAGATAAATGGAAATACTACCTATTACTGAGTTGCTATAATAAATATTAAATGAGTAGAAAATTTATTTAATGTCTGCCAAAATTTCATCTGTGGAAAATAGAAATAATAATAATATCCAACTTCATACAGCTATTGTGAGGATGAAATGAATCATACATGCAACGTTTTAAAAAGTACCTAGCACATAGTAAATATTCAATAAATGATAGATAAAAATAAAAACAAAACATATTTTAAAAATTAAATGAGAGGTAAAAATGCAAAGTTAAGAGAATAAAACATGAGAAGATATATTTTTGAACTTGAAGTAGGAAAAATTTTCTTAAGCAAGATCCCAAAAGCACATAATACACTGTAATATGAAAATCTATTCAGATGTGACAATATCAAAATTAAAAGTTTCTGTTAAACAGGGGAACACACAGAAAAAATAACAGATGGGTCACACTTGCAGAAAAAATTTTAACATCAAAAACCAAAAGGGGATTCATATGTAGAAAAAAATAACCAATCTTTAAATAAACAAGAAAAATTGGAAGTCTAATAAAAAATAGGCAACAAATATAAACAGAAGGAAAAACCCAAATGATTAATGAAGCACATGAAGAGTAATCAGAGAAATAAAAAATTGAATCAACAATGACACACTACTTACACCACCAGATTGGCCAAAAAAATGGGAAGGCTGGAAAAATATCAAGTGCTGGTGAGGATATGAGGAAGTAAGAACAGATATCATGCTGCTGGTGGGATGGAGACTGGAGTACAGCAATGTGGTAGGGAAAGGAGGTACGCACATACCTCTCTAGTTACATACCCAGGGAGGTAAACCTTTTACTCGTACATTAGCTGTGTCTTATTAGGACATAAAATAGTCAAAGATTAAAATATACTTAAAAACTCCTGAGACCATACCTGCAAATCAATCATAGGGCTCCCAATGCGCCTCTTCCATCCTGCTGTCTTCAAAAGAGATGATAAAACAGCTAGCCCACCCAACACACCCAAAGCAATCTAAAGAAGAAAAAAAAAGAAAATTTAGGACTTTATTTAATTTCCCTCATCAACGCTCCCAAATACTATAAATAGAAAGTATAAAAGTACTAAAATAAATGGTGGTAGATGGTATGCTCAAAGAACATAGGAGCCAAAAAGAAGGAATTCCACCACCCCCCCTCCCCGCCCGTGGCCAAATATGGAACAACTTGAGCAAGAAAATTGTAATGGATTATAATTACTAGAATAAATAAGTATCCACTAGTCCATACTGATTTAAATAAACAACTGAATAAATCAATGTGGGGAAAAGAACAGCTTCTCTTTAGAGTAGAATTCTAACTGACAAATATAGAAAAAACGATGGAAACAGAAAATCACCATCACACAAATATCACAGTAATACTTTTTATAGGCAAGAATTGTCAATAGATGCAAAAATTAGAGGGCAAAAGAATAAGTGTGATATCTGCATAATCTCAAAGTATCTCTCCCCGAGATATTTATTAATTATAAATGGTAAAATACAGTACAGAACTATGCAAAAGATCATCTTAGCCATATGATCAAAGGTAACATCAGTAATAAGACATACTGACATCAAATACTTTCTGATATGACTCACTGAGCAGGGCATAACATCACTTTTGTGGTATCTGTTCTAAAACAACATTTAATCAGGGGAAAATATCAAATAAACCCACTTGAAGACCACAATAATTCACCAGTACTCTTCAAAAATGTTAGGGTCAGTCATGAAAGACAAAGAACAACAGGAACTGTCACACATCAAAGTAGATGTGACAGCTAAAAGCAATATGCAACCTTGGACTACATCCTAAAGCAAAAAAAGAATAGTAAAAAAATTTGTGAAATTCAAATAGTATTTAGATTAATAGGATTATATCCATTTAAATTTCTTGGTTATGATCACTGTACTATAGTTATGTAAGATGTTAATAATAGGGGAGTGGGGGTGAAGGATATAATGCAAATCTCTTTATTTTGACAACTTTTCTGTCCATCTAAAATTTTTTTATTTAAAAAAATATACTGTAAATATTTAACAGGTTAAAATACTCACATCTGTCTGGGTACGTGCTTCTTCTTGATTCATTTCATATTTGACTGAGAAAGAAATCTGATATTTAAAAGAAAGCAAATTAGCCATATTGAAATTATATAAAACAAATTTACTTTTACTATAAAAATACATTTGTGGCTGGATTTTACCATAAATGCCATATTTTTTAACTATCAATATTACTAGAATTGACCTTTACTTATACATAAATGGATATGCTTTTGGGAATTATTCATGCTGCTTAAATATTTCTTTTGAACGCACATTAAGAAGGGTTCATTTGAAGCTAAGTTAGGTTCATTAATAGCAGTCAATCCAAACTAATCATATTTTATTTTCTGATAGATTTCTGTAACTGAGAAATGTGACAGATCATATGTATCAAGAATTTAGCAACTGGCTCTGGCCAGTTTAGCTCAGTGGTTAGAGTGTCAGCCTAGAGACTGAAGGATTGTAGGTTAGATCCCTGGTCAAGAGCACAACCTGGGTTGCAGGTTCAATCCCCAGCCCCGGTCAGGGTCATGTGGGAGGCAACAAATCGATGTATCACTCTTGTATAGATGTATCTCTCTCTCTCTCCCTCTGGAGAGTCTCCCTCCCTCCATTCAACTCTCTAAAAATCAATGGAAAAACATCCTCAGATGAGGGGTAACAATAAAAAGAATTTAGGACCTAAAGAGACACCTCTCTAAACAGGGCATACAAATGGCCAAGAGAAATATGAGAAAATGCTCAACGTAACTAATCATCAGAGAGATGCAAATTAAAACAATAAGGAGGTATCACCTCACACCTGTCAGAATGGCCGCCATCAACAAATCATCAAACAACAAGTGCTTGCGAGGGTGTGGAGAAAAGGGGACTTTAGTACACTGCTGGTGGGAATGAAGACTGGTGCAGCCATATGGAAAATACTATGGTGTTATGTCAAAAGTTAAAAACTGAACTGCCATTTGACCCAGTGACCCCACTTCTAGGAATATACCCTAAGAAGCGTGAAACACCTATCAGAAAGAATATATGTATCCCTTTGTTCATAGCAGCACCATTTATAATTGCTAAGATCTAGAAACAGCCCAAGTGCCCATCAGTAGATGAATGAATAAAAAAATTGTGGTAAATATACACAATGGAATACCATGCAGCTGTAAGAAAGAAAGATCTCCTATCCTTTTAAAGGACATGGAGGGACCTGGAGAGCATTATGCTAAATGAGATAAGCCAGTCAGAGAAAGACAAGTATCATATGATACAACTTATTAGCCAGGGCAGGACCAATTGTCTTTTGACTGTAATGTAAACTGTATCCCAAATTAATGCATATAGCAGCACTGATTAGTAATGAACTCACCTTTACAAACTGGCTGTTGGGATCTTTGACATCAATGTCACTGTAGCCAATAGTAATTAAGGGAGGGTAGATGTTTCCATTTTTTGTGTTGGGTACAAGGCGTATGCTGTTTGAAAGAAAATACACTTCTCATTATAAGTTCATGTAGGACCTTAAACATATATTTAACTTATCACTTCTTTTGAACCTAACATGAACAGTTTTGGTGAGCTCAGAACCAACCAATTAATAAGGAATAGAGAAGGTTAAACATAAACTAATGGTAATAACACCAGCTATCTTAAGTGGTTAAAACTTTAATATTAAAATAAACCCATTGGCCTAGCTGGTGTGGCTCAGTGGCTGAGCATCAATCCATGCACCAAGAGGTCACTGGTTCAACTCCCAGTCAGGGCACATGCCTAGATTGTGGGCCTGATCCCCAGTGGGGGACATGCAGAAGGTGGCCAATTGATGTTCTTTCTCTTCGATGTTTCTCTCTCTCTCTCCCTTCTTCTCTCTCTAAATCAATAAAGAAAAATTATTAAAATAAACCCTCTGAGCCCTGGCTGGTGTGGCTAAGTTGGCTGGAGTGTCATCTTGTGCACCAGAAGGTCGCAAGTTTCATTCCTGATCAGGGTACATGCCTAGGTTGCAGGCTCGATCCCCTGTTGGGGCATATACAGGAAGCAACTGATCGATGTATCTCTCTCACATCAATGATTCTCCCTCTTCCCACCTCTCTAAAATCAATAAAATAAATAAGCCCTCTAAGACAAATGAGAAACTCTTCTTGATATAGGCCCTATGAAGTTTACAAATGAAATCACTGAAATACTGTGAACCATTTTTGAGAAATATTCAAACAAGAAGTGGTATGGTATAGAAAGTCTAGAAAAAGGCAGATAAATCCTGATTTTCAAAAGAGAAGGATGAATTCTTAACAAAATAATATATTGACTCTAATACTATTTATGGCACATAGTAGGGCACATTTTGCTGAATTCAATGCATTAGTAATGTACAGTTTGTAAACCCAAAAAGGAAACTGCCAAGCTCCAGGGTCCAACATGGTTTCACCAAGATCAAGTCAGGCCTGACTAGGTTTGATTTTTTATTTTTATTAGGGATATATTAGCAGGTTGAGGGAATATTAAAAACATAGTACATTTTGATTTCAGCAAGGTATTGCCTACCTCATAAGATTGCTATGAAAATCAAAATAACAGTAAAAAAATAATAATATATACTGAAGTGCCAGACTAGTATAAGATGATAGTGCTGATTTCCATCAGTGTATTCAAGGTACACATAATAAAATATTGCAACGGAAAGGTTGGTTAAGGTCTTGGTGATAGGAATCTCACACTGGAAAAGAGAGAAATGAGGGCTGCATGGCACAATCAGGGTCAGCATTAAAGTAGCCTGAAAAGAGGGAGGTGTTTCAGGGCCAACCTAAAACAGTAGCTATTGAAGGACATCTTGGTTGTTGCAATCACCTGGCAGGCTCTTTCAAACATACCCATGTCAGCCCACCAACATTCACCTTACCCTCCACCTCTCAACCCACTCTAATTCAGCAGGTCTACAGTGAGGCCTACATTGTGAATTCTGACAAAACTCTGCAAGCTCATTATAATTCTCCTCTTGGCTCCTCACCTCTATTGGTATAAACCAATCTACTACACAGGTAACCTTCTATTTTGTTTCCATTTATTGTCCTTATTTTCATTTGATAATTATTGATAAACACATTTTTCTATGACATTTGTTTTACACTTAAAGCCCAATTTAGTGCATTAGACATTTGTTTACCTCAGTGATATTTGTGTAGCAATTCGAATTAACCTTGGCTGACTTCCTAAGTCATTTTCTCGTCCACTTAGTGCATCCACTAAGAAAATGCGCCGAGTCAGAAGCCACTTGCCAGAGTTACTGTCTTTTATCATAAAAAGAAAAAAACAAAAAGACATTAAAAAATACCTTCCAATTGTTCAAGATGGCTCTCAAGAAGCTTACTGAATAAATGTAAAACACAAAATTAGTGCATTTTGTTTTAGATAAGATGTCTGCACAAAAAAAGCTATTGCTGTAAGAAATTCCTACTAGATACCCCTACCTTATTTGAATGTTTTCTGATTGTTTGGACTTTTCATCAATTTGGAAGAATTATCCCTGAAAATTACCTGAATAAGCAGAATTTTATAACATGGGAAACAATGAAAGAAACTAATTTGTCCAAAAAGCAGCTCTAGGACAACTTGAAGAAGCCCCAATTTGCAGTTCTATTAATTTAATTCAGGACACACTTTTGGCAATAATATAATTTCTTAACAATTAGTCTAAAATATTTTGTAAAAATTTCTAAATTTGCCAGCAATCTTATTGTTTTGCTTTTTAGCATGCTATATAAAACCATATAATAAGATCTATGACCTTTCTTATAATCCATGGTTTATTAAATTATCAAGTTGGTTTATCTATTAATTGGGTTCAGCTCAGAGAAAGAATGGTATGTATGTATGTCTTACCTTGGTTCACAAACATTTTGTTGTGTTGAAGATTTAGATTTAACACAGGCACAGCCCAAATATATCGCTGTTGATGTTCATTGGTATATTCAAGGTATACATCATAAAATATAGGAATGGGAAAGTCGGTTAGGAGCTTAGAGAGAGGAATCACACACTGGAAAATAAAATTAAAAATGAAAGCATCCCAATGGAATGTTACAAAGCATATTTATTATATTTTAAAGACTATTTTTTAGAATTTTTATAAAATGTCTTGAAATTACTTTGTTTATATGCATTTCCTTGTGCCTTCCAAAACATGAGGCTATAAATATAATTTTTTAAAAAACAAGGACCAAAAAATACCTGACAGTAAAGAACTGCCTGGCTCTTGTCCTACAACCCAGCTGAAGAGGGTATGCCTTCATTCTCAGAATTAAGGGTACAGCAGTGAAAAGGGATGAGGTCCTAATTCTTCCTCCTGATATACAACACTGTCTATGATTTGGCCCCCCTTAACAAAGCCAGGCTTATTTCTCACTGCTCCCTACCAGTTTATAGTCCATTCATACTAATCTACTTACAGTTCCTATATATACTATGCTATTCTGTCTCTCTAGCTTTGCAAATGTTGCTTCTGCCTGATAGTCCCTTCCCCACTAATGTTCTGCTGGCAAAGTCATATTCAATCTATAAGCCCAAGTATCACTCACACTATGAAGCCCTTCTCTGTTTCCTTGGGAACTGCTGATAATCCCTCCCTTTGTGCCAATATACTTTGTTTATACCTACAGATCAAGAGTTATCATATTCTTTGCAACTTCTTGTCTATTTAGCTGTTTTCTCTACTACGCTGTGAACTACTTGAGAGGCAGCCAAATTCAATGGAAAAACCATGTGTTTTTTAACTTAACAGAACATTGACCACACAATTTACTTGATGCAAAACCTTGAGTAAATTACCTAATCTCACAGAGCACCATTTCCTCATTTGTGAAGCACAGATAACATGTATCTCACACAGGTATCTCATGGATCAGATAACAATGATAAAATGCTGAACACAGGCAGCAGGTGTTTAACAAGGTTGGTTCTTCTGGCCATGGTAGACACATACTAACTTTTTTTTTTTGGAACTAATATACATGGCTAGGCAAAAGTAGGTTTAAAAAGAACTCAATGCCAAAGTGTGCTCGACTATATCAAGTAGACTACAAGAATGTGTAAATAATGAAGGCTATCAGTTTGAGCACTTACAAGATTGTACCTAACACTGAACCTTTGTGACATATTAAAAAAATTTTTTTTCTTTATTGATTTTAGAGAGAGAGGAAGGGAGAGGGAGAGAGAGATAGAAACATCAATGAGAGAGAACATCGACATGCCACCTCCTGCACAGCCCCCACTGGGGATTTGCCCCACAACCTGGGCATGTGCTGTGACCAGGAATCGAACCAGCGACCTCTTGGTGCATGGGTTGATGCTCAACCACTGAGCCACACCAGCCGGGCCCTTTGTGACATTCTTTTAAGTTAATAAAGTGATTGTAAAAAATCATAACCTGCATGTCTTTTCCATATGAACTGTAAACCTACTTTTGCCCACTGATTATAAAATTGATTATAATTCACTGACAATAAAAGTGAATTCGCATTCATGATAGAAAATTTGCAAAATATAAAAAAAGAAAGGAAAATCACCTGTAATCCCACCATCCAAACATAACCATGTTAAAAGTGTTTATTTTCTTCCAGTGTTTTCCATGATAGTATTTTTCATCATGGCTTTAACAAAACTGGAATCATAGTTTTGTTCTACAGTGTATGTACATGCAAGTACATGCAAGTATGTACAAGAAGTATTTTTGTAAACTAGTAAATATTTAATGGCTCATAGTATTCCTTTGTACTATACGTGATTTCAAAAGGGTCAGGGAGGGAAGAAGGAAGAAAATTATGGAGGGAGATAAAATAAAGCATTTTTATTTGATAACAGAGGGATGGGGGTAGAGGAAAGAAGGAGTAACGTTTTTATTAGTCACTAAAAATAAAGGAATAGTTTTACTTTATTCCAAAACTCTAAGAAGTAGACATTATTTTTATTTTTAAGACCTACATGCCTAGAAGCAAATCAACAATTGGTTATGAAAATCTAACATTATATGTTGTATAAGATTTTATAGAGGACATAGTCTCTTCATGCTAATTAAATTAAGATTTTTCTGGGTCGGCCAGTGTGGCTCAGTGGATTGAGCATCATCCCATGGACTGAGGGGTCCTGGTTCGATTCCATTCAGGGCACATGCCGGTTTGTGGGCTCGATCCCCAGGAGGGGGAGTGCACAAGGCGGCCAATCGATGCTTCTCTCTCACATAGATGTTTCTATCTCTCTCTCTCTCTAAAAAAAAAAAACAATAAAATTTTTTTGAAAATTAAGACTTTCTGTACCCAGATAATAAAGAATTATGTCAATCAGTGAAATTCTTCAATACTATTAAAAACATTTCCAATTTCAAACATTCAAAGATTACTCCAATTATGCTAATGTAAAAATGAAACTAAAATACACACTGTTTAATACAGTTCAAACTTAAACTTACGTTTTGTAAATAGGTTGTTCCAAAAGAATAAGCAGCATTTAATTTTGTTTCTGTGTCTGGACAAAGCTACAGCAAAAGAATACAACTGATAAATATCTCTCACGAATGTTTTCTTGGCTTATAGTCATGATTTAGTCCCAACATAGATAGATACTTTACAAAATACTTATTTAATGTATTAAAGGTATGAAAAGTTTAAGGGAACATCTTTGTTTAAATTAATGTCATAACTTCAGGTGGTTTTAAGAAATTCCAACTTAAAGCACAAGAGAAAAATCAACTGTAGCATGCAACTGATGCCCCATTCAAGCAATAAACTAATCTCTTCCTCAGGCAAAAATAAGGCACATTAGTAATTCTTTAGCTAGAATTATGCTCACCTGTAAAACACCACCTTCTAAAGTTTGCCACTTGAGAAAATTTCCTCTGACATCATAGGAAGCAGCAACAAACTTCATTTTTGTATTCTGATTAAAGGAAAATAAGAATAAAATAATGTCTAAAAGCAATATACTATTCTATAAAGAAATTTTCATTAATGAGCCTTTCTTTTTACAGACATCAATCATCTTTATTTTGAAACAAAATTAATCTAAATATCTCTACAAATGAACACATCTAAAATCAATTGACCATTTTCCTTTTTGGCATGAAAACTATTGTTTCAGAATTGAGGGGCGATGATAGTGACAGACAACCTTTCAAACCTATTAAATGGGAGAGTGGGAGTAGGGGAGGGAATAATCTATTACTTCATTCTACAAAGTAAAAAACTTGGACCTGTGAAGTGCTGGGGAAATGGCACAGAGCCCTAGCCTGTGTTTGGAAGCACTTTTTAAATATGTAGCGATGTAGAGGGACACAGATTGGTTTGCATTTGGTGAAGAGAACTACCCTTCGCAACCCCACAGGTATTACTTGCTGCCATAATCAATAATCCAGACATATGCATATATGTACTCAAATAAGACAACTAAACTCTATATTGTTTAGTTCCTATGAATAGCTGATACTTAGATTTAGTTTAGTAATTCAAAGTTTAAAAACACCCCAAAGAAGCAAGAATTATGACTAGTAATATTCTCATTACGTTCTGAAATTGTAAATCAAAATGTAGTAATGCTTGTACCTGATTTTGCCCTTTAAAACTGAAATTGGTAGGAAGAGGTGTAGCACTGAGGATTTGAGGTGCTAATCCTAGCTGATCTCCATAAAACAGCCATGGAAGATTCTGTCTCCTATAACAATTACAATTGTTTTAATAATAGAGAAGCAATATTCATAGTATTATTTGTGAAAGTAACTGCACTGAATTTGGTCAAAATGACAGTACTTCAATCAGAATATTCTTACCAAAATGAAACAGAATGAACAGTGCGTAGTCCAGCAGTATGTTCAAAGACAAACTGAAATAGTCGACATGCATCAAAAGTGACAGAGTCATGAGAATTCATGTTCATCACACACATATTTCCAAGAGCTTGGCAAGATGTTAGATTGGCATATACCTACAAGAGAGCAACAACAAAGAAATGTAACATGGATTTTAATATCCTAAGAAAAGTTGATATAATAGATTATGTTTGTCTTTAATTTTACCTATTCTACAAATTATTCTTTTGGGTATTCTTTTACTTTCTGATAACTTTCCTCTGTTTAAGTATAAAAGAACTTGACATAAAGCAGAAGAATAATGGGTACATTTTAACTGTAAAATTAGGCTGAAATATAAAGACAAGCAATTGAAAGAACTAACTAAAAACCTATACCATGACATTTTAATAAACTGTTAAGTAGAATAATCATATTTGAAAGAAGAATTTGTTTGTATACTAGATCTTATATACATAAATCTAATTCAGTTTTGAGCTAAGTAATTTGTTTTATGAATAGTAAAATAAGATAATTTGTTGAGCCCCTCAAACCTCTTTCTTAGTTTTTACCTCTCAGAATAAGGAAACTCCATTTTTACAGTTATTCAAGTCAAAACACTAGAGTGATTTTCTTTTCCTCTCTTCCCATATCTAACATCATGTTGGCTCAATCTTCAAAATATAAACAGAAGTATATCCAAAAGAGTATCTCCTTTCTACAGTACCATCCTTTTCCTTGGGTCCACTCTCCCCTACTTGGATTGCTCTAATACTCTCCTTACTGGTTTCCCCGAGTCTGTCCTTGCCCCAACAAAATCTACTCTCCCTTTAAAACCTGAAGTTCAATCATGTGTTCCTTTGCAGAAAATCCTTCTCTCACTTACAGGAAATTCCAGGTCCCTGCCACAGCCTTTCCTTTAATCCATGATTTTTCTACTTTCCTGGCTCACTCTGCTCCAACCACTCTAGCCTCTTTCCTGTTTCTTAAGCATAAATTAGTCATATAATTCCTGCTTTGAGACCTCTGTACTTGCATGGTCTCTGCTTAGAACATTCTTCCCTTTATATAGCTCACTCTTACTTCCTTCAGATCTCCACTCAAATATCACACTTTCAAAGATGCCTGTCCTGACCACCCTATATAATAGCACCCTCTCCCATTCTCAATGTTCTTTATCCTGATTTGTCTTCATAGCACTTAGCATCACCTGACATTTACTTAAGGCTATAATTCCACAAGGGATTTTTAATGTCTTTTTCTGAAATACATAACTTGAGTTGAGAACAGGGCCGGAAATATAGTAAGTAATCAATAAACATTTAACAAATGACAGTATGAATCAGTTTCCCCTACCACTAAGTTGCTGAAGAAGCTTAGAGACATTCAATCTGTATATAACAAAATATGAAATGAATAACATGTTCTTTATGCATTCTCCTTCAACCCACTGGAAAGGGTTTATTCTTCTCACAGAATATGACTAAACAGATATATCTACTTAAAGAGAAAACTTTTATGATCTGGGGGAAAAATGGTTCAATTCTTCAAACTTATATAAAATTATTTTTAAAAATCCAAACTTACCCAACAAGCAGCTGCTGATGATTGCAGATACTTTGCAAACCATTCTGAAATTAAAGACATGCCCTGCAAACAAAAAGATAAAAAAATGTTTTTTTAAGTTTTTTCTTTATTGATTTTAGAGAGAGAGGAAGGTTCAATTCCTGGTCGGGCCACATGCCCAGGTTGTGGGCCCAATCCCTAGTGGGGGGCATGCAGGAGGCAGCCAATTGATGTTCTCTTTCATCGATGTTTCTTTCTCTCTCCCTCTTCCTTCCCCCCCCTCTCTCTCTAAAAATCAATAAAGAAAAAAAAAAGATTTTCTGCTGAATCTAATCATGAGAAAACAGTGAGAAAAATTCAGACTGTGGGACATACTACAAGAAAATGTCTTGACTATGCAAGTCAATGCCATTAAAGTAAAAAAAAAATAAAATAAGTTAAAAAATAAAAACAAAACAGAGCAAGGGTCTTTGTTCTAAATTAGAGAAGACTAAAAAGACTAATTGTAATATGAGATCTTTGATTAGATCCTACATACAAACCCTGAATGGGGTGGGGGATAAGATATTACTGAAACAAGTAATTCTTCTATTAATTTTAAGTTTTTCAGGTGTGATTCCAGAAAAAAAAATGCTCTTTTTCTTAGGAGCTACATAATAAAGTATGTAGAATTATACTGTCACGTCTGCAACTTATTTTTAAGTGGCTCAGAAAAAAATATGTACGTATGTGTATATATACAAGGATTCACATACACAGAGATAAAGCAAATGTGGGAAGACATTAATAATTGGTTAACCTAAGTAAAAGATACATGTATAATGATTGTCTTATTTTTTCAACTTTTCTGCAATTTTGAAAATTTTCAAAATAAAAGTTTGAAAAAATAAAAAATTAAGATGTGAGATCTCCTTTACTATCTTTAAGGAAAGAGAATGGGAAGACCCTGACCCGTATATATATGGAAATTCTTTACTGACTAGCAGAAATTTTCCTAGAGGAGGACTGGATGCCTTGCTTATAAAATTATATAAACTAATTACATTTCAATTCTATATAGTTAATTAAAAAAGCATGGCCCTGGCCAGTTTTGCTCAGTAGTTAGAGCGTCGGCCTACAGTCCGGAGAGATCCGGGTTCGGTTCCCGCTAAGGGCACGTACCTCGGTGGTGGTTAGTCCCTGGTCCTGGCTGGTCATGCGGGTGGCTGCCACTCGATGTGTCCCTTTCACATCAATGTTTCTCTCTCTCTCTCTCTCTTCCTCTCTCTCCCTCCCACTCTATCTGAACAAAAAATGAAAAGATGTCCTTGGGTGAGGATAAAAAAAATAAAATAAAATAAAGAAAGCATGTGTCCTGTAATGTTCTAAATACCCTTTCCATACAAGTGTTTAGTCAAGTTGGCAATTATAGTCTCAACATTAATTAATAAGTATGTATTTTGTTTATCAGTCAATCTAATCTCTTCTGTGCTTAAATGCTTTGAACTGGTCCCTTAGAACGTGACTCACCTACAGGTTCACTGACAATACTGAGTTCTTATACCTGCTAAGCTGAGGACTGGGCCAACGCAGTCATACCATCTTAACTACATTTTCTTAACATGTTTCATAAACTGGCTACACAGAACTAGTCTCAATACCTGTTATAAAAAGACTTAAAGTCAGAAATTGCACACTTGTCTTTGGAAAAGCGTCAGTGTTCAAGACTGGTATGTTTAAATGAAATACATTAACTGAATCAGATTAACTTTAAGATTGGAATAGCCTTTGCCTGACCACCTTCCCTTCCTAGCAAATGGATCTGCTGAACAGTGGTGTTGAAGAAAGGGAAGATGTGAAGGTGGTGTGGAAGAGGGCTTTCAGCAAATGAGCAAACTGAGGATGAGATCCAGATTTCTCACTGCTGGAGAAGATACTGTCAAAAGTCTCACTACCACCATAGCCAGTGTGGCTAAGTGGGTTGGGCGTCTTTCCGTGCACTGAAAGGCTGCCAATTAGACTCCAGCCAGGGCACATGCCTTGTTTGCAGGCTCCATCCTTGGCAGGGAGTGTGCAGGAGGCAGCCAACTGACATGCTTTTTTCTCTCTCACCCTCTTCCTTCCTCTCTAAATATCAATAAAATAATTTTTTTTGTTTGCTTCACTACCTTCAAAAGTAAAGACTAAAAAGAACTGTGAGGTATAGCTTTGGAATTGAAGGCATCAGTATAAACTCATTTATCTTAATATATATACAAGATAAATACTGAAACAGTTATAGATGTGTTCATATAGTATACATATTTTTTTTTCTAGCTATATCTACTAAGAAGGCATACTAAGTGTGGTAATCTTGGTTTCTAAATATTATCCTTAAAAGCTCCCTAGAAAAATGGCCTATTCCAGGGCCAAGGCAGAAAAAGTACAGGAGCCTGGAAATCTTGCTGTGCAAGAAATGATCAAAGAATGATGGGGTCATGTCAAAAAAGACACAGGAGTCAACTTGAAGGGGCCAAATTGGTCAAATCTAGGACAATTTGAGCATTAAAACAAATACATGTATTGGATTAAAACCAACTAAATAAAGGAGGAAACCACAAATCCATACTGTCATTAATAAATAAATGTATAAATAACCAGGAAAAATTCTTCCTTATAATTGAATATTAATACACGAGGAAGGGATAACAAAAAGATTTGGCAACCATCATAGTAGTGGTTGACAAAAGGCAAGTGTGAGAATAAAGCTACTAAGTTAGGGTTAGTAAAAAAATGGAAAAGCATAATTTTGGAAATTCTCCTCAAAAATATTAACCTACTGCAAAGGAAAATGGTAATGTTACAGCAGACATGGTAACTTTATGGCAGGTGATCAAGGTTAACAACACTAGTGATGGGACAGGTGGACTTCCTGGGTACCATGTGCCCCCTGACGTGATGCAATGCATTGAGAATAGCACTGCATCTTTTTGTGATTTCCTGCCAAGCATGTCCTAATTATGAAAAAAGAATGACCCCAGTTGAGGATCATCCTATAGACTGTAAGGTCTGTATCTTCAAACTGCTGAGTTCATGAAAGACAGGGGAAAGGACTGAGGACCTGTTCCAGAATGAAGAAGACTGAAAGGGACATAACCCAAATGATTGGTGATCTGAGACCAAATAAGAAAAAGAGACATTGTTGAGACTTTCGGCAAAATTATTTCAACATATTTTGAAAAGAAAAAAATGAAAATTAAAGGCCTACAAATGTGATAAATGGTATACAGATGTTCACTATAATCCAAGTCTAAAGAAGAATGCCCCCAAAGACATGCATCTTGTTACAAATGAACCAATTTTTATGATTCCAAGCTCCCTATGTATACTCCTATTTTAGTATTTATACTGTTGTTTGCAAATATTTGGTACTTGACTGTCACCCAACAAGACTAAGCTGCAGGAGAGACATTCTGCTTTGTTCATCAAGATCCTAGATTCCACCCTCATCATGGCTATCCTCACAGTCCTCCTAATTGCTCCCACTTACTCAATGATAATTTTAACCACCAGATCCTAACCTGTCTGCCCAAAGCTCTGCTGGCATACTGGGTATCCTCAATGCTTATCAGCAGACTCCTAGTCAGTCATCTAACTCTTATTCTCTTGGATTTGTGACCTCTTCAGTTCCAATTAATTCACATTTCCCATTTAACATCCGAGATGTCATCACCAGAATCTATTGCAAAAGCTCTAATTCTATGCCACCATGCTCTCACCTATAAATAAGGAACCTGGCTGGATACAAATAACCGTCATTTCTCCAGTCACTACCATGTACAGGCACAGTGAGGTAGGTAAGGCTTATTACTATTAGCCTTATTACTATGCACAATTTCCAGACAATAAAACTAAAGTATAGAAATGTTAACTAAGAAACTAAAGTATAGAAATATTAACTAAGTATAGAAATGTCCAAAGGTACAAAGCAGATGACTGGTGAATCCAGGGTTGAAATCTAGTCTCTGGTGTTCCTAGCTATATTATATTGTATTCTTTATAGGATCTATAATGGATCTTTCCAGCTGAAACATTCTGAAATTCACTGAAAAAGGAATGACCTAAGGTAGAGAAAACAGTAACTGAACTTATAAATTATAATGCTGAGTCATTAGTCTAATGTTTCTTAGACTGATTTCTGTTTTAAAGTGATTTACACATAAATGTTTATTATTATAGTCCCAAACTAATTACCAAAGAAAGGCAGAAATATTTTTAACAATGAAACAAAAAATTTAAACATACTCACAAGCTCTCCATAACGTGCAGCTGAAATCATATGAGGTAAATTCCCTGTGCTGCTGAAACATAAACCCCCTGTCTAAAAAATGAATGAATAAACAAATAAAACAGTTTATGGAACAGTATAAGCAATTTAATTTTAAAATATATACTTTATCAATTTGATTAGCCTTACTAAAATGTTAGGTTTTAAACATGCACAGGACCCGCTGGTATTAATGAATGTTGGCTCACATCGGACACACCTGTCAATATAACAGAAATATTTTAAATGTTAATGAATTATACTAACCCTAAATTTAATCAAGAATTTGTTTTCCTAAACACAAGATTCATTCAGCTAAGCAATTACTTGTAACAAGTAAACAAATTAAAAATATTAACACTGATTTGAACAGTTTTATACCACTCTTGGTATTACAAGGCAAGTTATAAATAAATAAAATTAATCAATAACAGGAAAGTATTTCTTTTGAAACCATGTGGATAAATAATACTAAATAGCAAAGATGGGGAAGTCACTCAATTAACAAATGAGCCTAACAAACTCATATAAATGAAACCCAATCCATTTTTATAAGTACTTATATCAAATATACTTTCTTTATTTTATCTGCCACAAAACAAAAAGGTATAACATATACTGAAAAGAAACATGTATCTACTCTTTGTCAAACCTACAACCAACATTTTATTATTTTTTTAACTTTTTTTTTCTTTATTGATTTTAGAGAGGAAGGGAGAGAGAGAGAGCAACATCGATGAGAGAGAACATCAATTGGCCACCTCCTGCTTGCCCTCCGCTGGGGATTGGGCCCACAACCTGGGCATGTGTCCTCACTGGGAATTGAGCCAGCAACCTCTTGGTACATGGGTCAACACTCAACCACTGAGCCATACCAGCTGGGCTACAACCAACATTTTTGAAGTCTATTCATCATCTTTGTTTATTTTAGGAAAAAATATTTTTCATTAATGAATAATACAAAGAGATGGAGGGCATTAAACTAGTGGGGACACTGATAGTTTTAGATGGGTATTCATTATTTGCAAGTTAGAACAGGTAGGAAGAGGGGCTAGGGCATGGCACAAAACTCCAACTAGGCTTAAAGAGGTATTGGAGGGGAAGAATTGAGGATCAGCCCAGTAAAGAAAAGATGATTCAACACTAAGTATCCCTAGGAGAAGCTGCTCAAGTATTTTCTATCTTAAACTTGAGAATTAAACTGAAAACTGTGCTTAAAGGGAAGTCACCATTTAGCCTCTGAAACTGAAGAAGTTGAAATAGGAATAATGTGTTTGAGTTAGAAAGAGGAAGTGATGTGTGTGCACGTGTGTTTGGTGTGTACATATGCATACACAAAGGGGGAACAGGAAATGGTAGAGAACAGGGCTATGAGAGGGTACCTAATTTTTTATATTTATCAATATATTTTCTTATGTAATATATATAAAGCACAGTACCTGGTATATAGTAAGTAAGATGCAAATAGAAGTTACTATTATGTATTACATATTATACTACAAAGTATGTACAAATTACATAATAACAAACAAAAATAGCTACTTAGTATTTACTTACTCTGTAGCACTGTGCTAAGAACTTAACATATTTATTTCTAAGCTGTGATAACACCTAAGAAGTGGGTGGTACATTCCACTCTAAAGACAGGAGACTGACTTATTGAGTGATCCAAGGTCAAACAACTAATAAGAGACATTTGAACCCTATTCTGTCTCATTCTCAAGACCTCATCTACTTAGCTGTTCGTGTCCATTTCTATCCTTCCTTGGGTTATTGTGAGGAGCAAGTGATATGATAGGCAAGTACTTTAAAAAGGTAGAATCTGGCCCTGGCTGGTTTTGCTCAGTGGTTAGAACGTCAGCCTGTGGACCAGTGAGTTGCGGGTTCAATTGTGGTCAAGGGCACGTACCGTGGTTGTGGTTCATCCCTGGTCAGGTTGTGCAGGAGGCAACCTATCACACCAATGTTTCTCTCTGTCTCTCTCTCTCTCTCCCTCCCTCCCACTCTATCTGATGATAAATAGAAAAATATCCTCAGGTGACGAGTAGAAAATAAATAAAAAGGTACAGGTTCTGCATAAATATAAAATAACATTAATGAATAAGCACGCTGCACACTGCTTACCTGTTTCCTAAAGCATTTGCTACTGTAAAAGTGTATTCCTTTCCATCACAGAGCTTACAAGTTGCTTGAGACAACAGTGTTCCATCTACATTTCTTTCCACTAAAACAATTTAAAAACAAAACTAAGATGTAACTCATAGTCAACATATAAGCTTATATATACTTAGTAAAACCCACTTGTAATTCTAATAATTCTCAAAACACATTATTGCATTAAAGGCATCTTAAGCACCTCAGTAATATAGAAACGTGAAACCTTCCCATTCACATAAAAAAATACACAAACTAATTTTCCAAATCCTCATAATAATAATATTTTTTCTTGAAAATATTCCTTACCTCTTACTTGTATGTTCCTGTTACACTAGGAATAGGAAACAAGCATTTTTACAGACTGCTACTAAGTTTCTGCCACTTAGAGGACTTTTGATAGTGTCTACTATCAAAATTGTAGTGTTGTTCACCTACAACACTACAATTTCATTTTTAGATACCTAAACTATGGAAACACATATACATGTGTATAAGGATATTCATCAAAGCATTATTTGTTAGAAAACAACCTAAAATATTTAAAATAGCAAAATGGTGGTATATGCATATTATTAAATACTATAGAGTGGATTAAAAAGAATGAGGCAGATCTAACAGATCATGCTGTTAAGTGAAAAATATGCTTAAAACAATATTTTTGGTATGAAATATTTATATAAAAACTCCACTTATGCCGTGGCTGGTTTGGCTCAGCGGTTGAGCGTTGGCCTGTGGTCCAGAGAGACCCAGGTTTGGTTCCCGCTAAGGTCGCATACCTTGGTTGCGGTTTGTCCCCAGCCCTGGTTGGTCGTGTGGGTGGCAGCCACTCGATGTGTCCCTTTCACGTCGATGTTTCACTCTCTCCCCCCCCCCACCTGAACAAAAAATGGAAAAATGTCCTCAGGTAAGGATAAAAAACAAAAAACAAAAAACACCACTTATATTTTCAGTGACTACAATGTATATCTATATGTTAAAAATAGGGGAAAAAAGATTCTAGAAGGACAGACACGTCAATATAACAACAATTACTTTGGGGCTGAAGGACTAATAGAGATATTGCGAAAAATGGTCAAAGACCATTAGTACCAATCAGAATGTTATCCATAATGTTTTAAGGTTTTGTAAGGTGGTAAAAACAATTTTAACAAAAGTAAAGGTGAACAACTTATTCCTCCTACAGTCATATTGTCTCAGTAAATGGCAACTCCATTTGGCCATTTCTTCAGTACCTATAGTCTCTTTTCTCTTCATGCTCTACATTTAAAAAAAAAAAATTAATATTAGAAAATAAATCTGCAAATCCTGTCAACTCTCTCTCGAAAGTATATCCAGAAGCTGAATTATTCTCTCCATAACTATTACCCTGGCCCAGTGCCATCATCTATAACCTGGACTTTTGTAACAGATTCCTCACTAGAACCCTGGTTCTATTCTCCAGGAAGAACCTGGTTTAAAAACTAAAAGTGATCATTTCACTCCTCTGAAAACCTTCCAATGGTCTACCATCTCACGCAGGTTAATTTCCAAGGTCACTACACAGCCTAAAAGGCCTTACATGATCTGCAGACCATCACCCGAACTTTTCAGACCTATTTACTTCCACTTTCCTCCTCTGCTACAGCCACATTAGTATATAGCGAACCCTTGACTATGCCAAGTATGAGCCCATCTTAGGACCCCTGCACTTGCTATTCCCTCTTCCTAGAATGCCCAGTAATCTACATGGCTCTGTCCCTCATTTTCTTCACATCTTTGCTCAGATGTCACCTTTCTAGAGAGGGCTTCCATGATCATCATGTAAACTAACCCCTGCTGTCTCTCCCTTGCCCTGCCTTAACTGTCTTCATAGCACTTATTACCACCTGATACGTATACCTATTCATTTACTCTCTTTTTCTTGCCATTGGAATGCCAGTTTTGATTCACTATTGTATCCCAGCACCTAGCAAGTGGTGCTCAATAAACTTTTTTTTTTAATTAGAAATATTTAAGATTGAGAGGTTTCACCTCATAACTTTGTATTTCTGCCATCTCTTAAAAAATAGGAAAATCTGGTTTGATGAGATGCGTGTTCTTACATGACAACAGTCTGCTAGAGCTGAACTGGGGCTACCTAGTGTCCTTTAGCTTAAATGCCCTTTGGTTCAATGAAGTTTTTAAATTTATTTTAATGTTTTATCAACAGATATTTAGGAATAAATGAGTAAGTATGATGACAATTCTATGAATATTTCAAGGATATACAGAGACATAAAATATATAAAGCCTTCCTGGAAGAATAAAAAAAAAAACTTAATTGTAGTTACATTTGAGGACTGAGTATGGGAGTGAGGTTGGGAGGAAAAATACCTTTAGTTTTTATTTTATATTTTTCTATACTATTTAAATTTCTAACCATATGCATGAATTATTTTCATTATTTAAATTTTTTAAATAATTTTTTACAGAAAGAGGAAGGGAGAGATAAAAACATCAATGAGAGAGAAGCATCAACATTTATCAGCTGCCTCCTGCATGCCCCCTACTGGGGATAGAGACCTCAACCTGGTTATGTGCCCTGACCGGGAATCAAACCAGGGACCTCTTGGTGCATAGGTCAACATTCAACCACTGAGCCACAGCAGCCAGGCTAATTTTTAAAGTGAAATTTTTAAGTTGTAAATTACAGATATATGTATTTTTTTTGCTTTTTTTTTTTTTATCCTCACCCGAGGACATTTTTCAATTTTTTATTCAGATAGAATGGGAGGGAGAGAGAGGAAGAGAGAGAGAGAGAGAAACATTGACGTGAAAGGGACACATTGAGTGGCTGCCACCCATATACCAACCAGGGCCAGGGACAAACTGCAACTGAGGTACATGCCCCTAGCGGGAACCGAACCTGGGTCTCTCTGACAGCAGGCCGACGCTCCAACTGCTGAGCCAAACTGGCCAGGGCCAGCTATATGTATTTTTTAAGCAGTAGATCTATATGTGATCTTATGGAACTATCTCTAAAATATATAGTATATATACACTTCAAAATTGTTTTATATATAAATATATATATATAAAATTGAAAGGATAGAGAAGAAACAATTTATTACATTAGGGTAAGTTCTGGGAAACACAATAGGTGGGGAGTATAGGCTTTCACTTCTCATTTAATAGTCTCATGAATTATTTTATATATATATAAATATAAATATATATATATATAAATATAAATATATATATATATATTTTTTAATCCTCACCCGAGAACATTTTTCCATTTATCTTCAGATAGAGTGGGAAGGGGGGGAGAGCGAGAGGGAGAGAGAGAAACATCAATGTGAGAGAGACACACTGACTGGTTGCCTCCTGCACGACCCTGACCAGGGCCAGGGATGAAGTGCAACCGAGGTAGGTACCCTTGACAGGAATAGAAACTGCAACTCTTTGGTCCACGGGCCATCGTTCTAACTGCTGAGCCAAACTGGCCAGAGCAAATATTTGATATTTTTAATATGTATTTACTGTGTTAATAATTTTTGAAAATTATTTATCTCATCACCTGGGAATTTTTCTTATACCAGAAATGGGAAGAGTTGGGAAAAGCTGTGCAAGAAGACACACCCTCTTTCCATCCACCCTCTTACTCCTCCACAACCCCTCTTGCAAATCCATGAAGAAATTAACTGCAAAAGTTCAAGGAGCTCACACCATGGAGAATTTTAAGTATGCAATAGTAGCCTCTAAAATAGTGAAATACTGTTTGCACAGCTGTCACCAGTTTTAAGGGGTCATTTGGTTATCAGAGCCACTGTTTATAACCCCTGACATCTAGCCTTCACTCTCAGCAACTCACTGAAACTGAAACTACAGCATCATTGATTTATGACTGTCAAAAGTAATCTCAGTAATTCAGGCACTCTTGACTTCTCCACAGCATTTTTTTTTTGGTATGTGCCCCTAGCAGGAACCGAACCCGGGACTCTCTGGTCCACAGGCCAACGCTCCAACCACTGAACCAAACCTGCCAAGGCACACAGCATTTGAATCTATGGACCATCATATACTTCACGTCCACTTAGAAACTCCAGAGTTATTTTTTACTTTTCCATTTTCCTCATCCTCATATTCCTTCACTCATCTACTGTTATCCTTTTAACATTTCTAGCATCTCCTCCTTCGTGCACAGTTTTGGCCTAACTCTGGTTCAGGTCCTTATATCTTCATGCCTACAGTACCGCAGCAGCCTGTTCACAGTTCTTCCTACTTCCAGTCTTCCATTCCTTAAATGTAAACTTCATGAGGGCAGGCACATCATTCCTGTTCACAGCTTTATCTCATGCCCTTGGACAATGCCCAGTACATAGTAGGAGTTCAATAATATATGTTGAATGAACAAGTACAACAGACGGCTGCCAGATTAATCTTAAGAATTTTCCTGTTCAAAACGTTCAATGAACTACATATGCCAATAGAATACTCTACCATTCAAGGCCTTCCACAATCTGGACCAATGCACCTTTAAATTCAGCAAACTGATCTTCTCATAATCCCTTCACACTCAATCTGGATTTTTACATTCATAATATAAAAATTATAAATTTGTTCACACCGTTCCTTCTGCCTGGAATATTCTTCTCTTTCTTGCTACCTTTGAAATCCTATAAATCCACTGCTTTTCCACGGCAACCATTCCAAACAACTCTGGTTGTTCCTTATACAGCATTTATTGTCTATAGTGCTCAACTGATGATTTAATATGTGTGCCCCTTGTGAAAATCTTTTACTGGTATCTTGTTCTGCACATTACATTTCCACATGCATATCCTGCCTTCTAACTAGATTTTCAATGAATTGATGGCAGGAATTTTATTCATTAAAAATAAATAATATTTTAAAATAAATAGCACCGATGGATTTCAAGTAAAAATTAAGCACCTTACCCATTTCCTCCAGACACTCGGTTCTCCACCTAGAGGCAACACTGTTACTAGTTTCCTTCTTTCTTTCTTTTTTAATGCTCTTTATTGATTTTAGTGAGAGAGGAAAGGAGAGGGGAAAAACATCAACATCATCTGCCTGCTGCACGTG